AGGAATCAGCCTTAAATAGTTTTAGGGACTAGCCTAACTTATTTAATGAATTTGAGAAAAAGCAACTTCAATCTAATTTGATATTGTATAATAAACTAATTTGAAATTGTACAAAAAAACTTAATTGATATTGTATAATATAATTAAAACTAATTATATTGTGTGTATGTGGGGGTGGGGTGTAGGGCTGTATATTGAGCAAAAAATTTCGATATGATACGATACAATATTTTTTAAAGCGATATGCGATATATTGGATTCTAAAACAAATCCATCAAAAAAGGCTTATTAATCATTTAATGTATGTATTTCATACAAAAAATTGTGTTTTATTACCCATTTCAAAGTTCTTATCCCATAGTCAGTAAATAAAACACTTCCAATCGAAACTTTTAATGACTGTAAAATCAACATGTTAAAATAAAATTATTATGCAATTTATAATAACTATAAAAACTGTGTTATTTCTTTAATAAATCTATAATTATTGATCAGTTTTAATTCAAAAAAGTTAAATATAATCTTTGCTGGTTAAAATTCACCTTTTTAGCAGAATTAGAAGAAAAACTGCTTGTCCGATACGTATTGGAAGTAATTTTTTTACGATACGATATTTTTCTTGAATATCGATACATATCGATATATATCGATATATTGATACAGCCCTAGTGGGGTGGGGTGATTGGAATCAGCATGCTCATTCTCCACATTATTAATTGCTCATTAATTTCAGATTGAAACTTTTAGTATGATATAAAATCCAAATAAATCAAGTATTTTAAAAAAAAAAAAAAATGGTAGATAGTCCCTACAAATCTAAGAATCATGCAGGAACCTTATTCAAAATGATGCAACAAGATTACACAATTTTTTTTCAGTATAAATCTTTGTAACAAATTTATACAAAATCTTTGTTTTCAGATTTAATTTCAGAATGACACATGCAATAATGCATTTTGTTTGCACTACAAAGGAGAAGGTTAAGATCCATTCATCCCTTGATAGCAATTAGTGGGCATGCATCCAGTCAAAGATTAATTAATGAGTTCTATGTAGGGAAGCATAAGCTGTCTTAATCATTTCTGTTAGAGCATATCTCTGATCAAGGAGCTCTTATCTGTGTCCTTTGGGAAATAGACAGAAGAACTGCTGGTCAGTTTAAATAACATTTGTCATATGATGGCCAGTCTCCTATTTCTAAAATCAATTTTGTTTAGATCAAGCTTTTAAGACATATTAGTTAAATTGATATTTTTTTGTTGTTGAAAATATCAAATAACAAATTTCAGAGCATCATGTCCCACATGAAAGACATGTGCATATGTGTATGTTTGTGGAGGAGGGGCATTTGTCAAGCTATAATGCAACCAGTTGATGATTATTTGTTATAACTAAAGCAGCTTGCACCACAGGAGATGTTTAAACAATTATTATAACGAATGGAAAAATTACGCAAATCCCTTTAAAGGTTGACATGATTTTCTTGCACTCTAAACTGTTTATAATAATTGAATGAACAATATTTGATGGGAGTATCATGCTGAGGTGGTGCACTTTTTAATTTTTAAAATGAATTTGATATAAATTTATATAGATTAATTTGATTCTATATAATGTTTTTTCAATAATAAATTTGCAGAGTATCATGACAAATAGTTGCAATTTATTTTTTCAATGAAATAAACAAAACTGTTACAATGTATTAGTATTGATGTTTTATTTGGTTGCACCTCAGTTTCATTATTAATTAAAAAAATATATATATATTGAGCACTCAAATTGTTTCTAAGAAAATGTTGAACACCTCTTAATAGATCCATAAATATTTGTGAATTTGCACCTACTCTGAAAAACCCAGCGGGGGTATTTGTCCCTATTGGACAGTTCTAGTTTATTTTTGACAGAGATGATTGCAGATACACAACTAGCTAAAGGGAGAGAATTACAATGTGTTAAGAATAGGAAAGATTTTAATAGTCTTTTATAAACTTAGAACACAACAAAACTTCCATCAAAAAGTATAATGTGCATGTTTTTATGGAAGTTTGTTAGGGATGGGTATGTTACAATGCGAAATGTAATAACAACGTGAAATGTAATAAACTTGGATTATTACATTTTGCATTATTACATTTTGTGTTGAGATCAACACAAAATGTAACAACACAATTTTTAGATTATTACATTTTGCATTATTACATTTTGCGCCGAGATTAACACAAAACACGTGCTTTTTCGTTGTTACATTTTGCGTTATTTTATTTTTGCACTGAAGACAACGCAAAATGTAATAAAACAATATGTAATAAAACAAAATACAATTTATTTTTTTTTGATTGCGTTTAACAAAAAAGATCATAAAATTGATTCAAAATATACATATAACCAACATGGGAAACACGCTATACAAAATATTTAGAAAAATCGTAGTCTTCTTAATTAAATAAATACTTTGATGTTTCAATTTCGTGTACTGTTAAAGAATTGTAACATAATTTTCAGCATGATTACGGAGAACCAAAATTAAATATGACTACTTTTAAAATTTTCAACAATATCTCATGCATTGTTGAAATAAAATTATTTCATCTAAGAATATGGCGACGCATAATTTCAAAATCACAGTAACTATGCTTAAAAAAATTCTTTTAATACTTTTACGCAACATTATCTTGTGCTTTGTTGAAATAAATGAATAAATAATATTCTCGAGAAAAACTCAAAGTTTTTATTTTTAAAAAAAGTGTGTACAGTAAATTTTTGACACTTAATCCTCGCGCCGATTTTCGTAACAAATTACTGCAATTTTCAAAGTTCAGAACATTGCTGGCAAATTTTTCTGTTGCGTATAATACATCCGAACTGTGTTTTTTTCCACAGTTTCAGACTCAAAAAGGGGGGTGCGTATTTTACATCAATGCGTATTATACTCAGCCAAATACGGTAGTATGTTTATCATTGTATTACTATGGACATGCAGAAACAATCCATTTTATTATTGGATGGAGAGAGAGAGAGGGGGGTGTTTTTGCTTGTCTGCAATGCTGGTGATTTGCATGGAACAGTATGGTATCACAATTGTCAATATACCCCTTCCGATATATATTTACACCTGCCAGTACAAATAAATAGGTTTTCTTTTAGATTCATTGCATTTGTCTATAAAAAAAAGCAAAAGTACCCTGGTCAATACCCCCAGCAACCCCATCTACACACGCGTGTTTCTAATTTCTAACACCTAGAATTTGAATACATTTATCAAACTGATTTTAAATACAAATAGCTTATTGGATCAATATATTATGAAATTCATTAATTTTAAGAAATTGCATATATCTGGTTTTTTTTCCTTTTGTTTTATTTCCGTACTCAGTCTGACTGACCAAAGAGTGTGTTATTACATTTTGCCTTCTTGCTTTTTGCTTAATCTCGACACAAAATGTAACAACACAAAATGTAATAATCCAAATATTGTGTTATTACATTTTGCATTATTACATATTGTGTTGATCTCGACGCAAAATGTAATAACGCGAAATGTAAAAATCCTCAAAAGTGTGTTGTCACATTTAGCGTTATTACATTCTGCGTTGATTTCGATGCAAAATGTAATAACGCAAACTGTAATAATCCATGTTTTTTACATTTCGCGTTGTTATTACATTTCGCGTTGTAACATGGGTATCGCCAAAAATTTCAAATCGCGATATATCACAATTTTTTTCCCAAAATATCACAATAATATCATGATCTTTTTACAAGCAATTTTTAAAATAATTTTAAATGAGTAGGCATTATTTATCTTAAAAATATGCTAGAAAAACAAAATTTAAATTTTTTGAAATTTTTATGTACATTCAATTAATCATGTCTGGGTGGTAAGATGCCATTCTTTTCACCTTTTACAATATTTTTTTGTTTAGACTTTTTGTAATTGTAATTTGAAAGATTAAACAAATAAATGAATAATTTCTGGACTTAATAACATGTACCTAAATACCGGTATTTAGGTCTCTGTAATATACTATCACGATACGTATCACGCAACAAAAATTGCGATATACCGCTATACCGATAAAATTGCAGATCCCTAAAGTTTGTTCTGATTAGGGCATAAGTTGTAGTTCTGTATGGACCAAATATTTTCCTTTTGTAAGGCTTTATATATGGTCTTCTTTCATTGTATTTGAATGTTTAAAAATATGTTTTTATTAGCAAGACATATTGATTCACAGAGATTCTTAGGCTGTATCTGCATACACATTTTTTTCTGCTTCTACATGTAGCTAAAATTTTCAGAACTGATTTTCAACTTCTATATCAGAATCACCAAGGAGTATAGACATGAGATGGCAGAAAGGGTAAAAAAGATTGCAGAGAACTCGAAAGATGTGATGCGACATATTCGTTCCAAGTATGTCAAAAAGCTGGATTCTTCAAGGGACATGATGTCAGAAGATTCTTATTTTGAATATTCAAAAAAAGTAAGTCAGTATTCAGTATGTTAGTATCATTCATATGATGTTGAAATAAATCAAAATTAAACTCCAAGAGATTTAAAGATGTTCCTACATTGACTTCATCTGAAGCTTTGTTAAATGAGCACACCACAAACTAGAGGTACTGTGAGCAATGAGCTCACTAAATGATACCCCCTGCCTTCCATATGAATATATTGGCAGTGTCCATGTTTTGCTCTGGAAAATCCAAAATATATGTCAGATTAAATAGTAAAATAGGAGGTGCACAATGGCAATATGTAATGAAGATTCTGTGAAAGTTTCATTAAATTTCCTTCAGTGGTATGAGAGGAGTTGTGGATAAGAGATGGGTACCCCAAAGCGTAATGGATGGACAGACATACGGACAGCCAGGCAGACGGACATACCGATTACTATATACCCTCCCGCTTTTCAAGCGGGGGTGTAATAAGCTGAAAAGTGAATGCTGTATATCACTTTTTTCTTCAAAGAAATTTATTTTGTATAATTACACAACATCATCTTCATTCTCAATCTGGTAATACATAATTTTACTATTAAAGATTATATTTAGATGGATAACTGAAATTCATGAATATCTTTTTCATTATACCCCCCGCTTGAAAAATGGGAGGGTATACTGTAATTGGTATGTCCGTCCGTCCGTCCATCCAGCTGTCTGTATGTTCGTCTAGCTGTACGTCCGTCCATCTGTCTGTTACGCTTTTGGGTACCCATCTCTTATTCGCAACTCCTCTTATACCACTGAATCAAATTTAATGAAACTATCACAGAATCTTTATTACATACTGCCATTGTGCACCTCCTATTTTACTTTTTTGATCCGACACATATTTTGGGTTTCCCGGCCACAGCAAAACATGCGGCTTTGCCATTATACTCATATGGGAGGCGGGGGGTATCATTTAGTGAGCTCATTGCTCACAGTACCTCTAGTAATGGTAATACATGTATTTTATTAAGTCATATATCTTATTTTGGCCTATAGACAAACAATATACACAGTAACACTTAAGTGTTAAAGTTTGTAATAATTCCTTCTTTTCTTATTTACAAAAAAATATTGAAGAAATGAAAGAAAATACAGAAAGGATCACCAGTCAGACTAGGACATAAGTCAGAACATTGTAGGAATCAGCTTGTAGAAAAATCACATCTGAGAGGTTTTTTTCTCCTTTTCCAGATAGATGCTAAAACGAAGCTCTATGTTGACAAGATTGCTACTCTAGCAGCGAAGAGGAGTAAAGAAATCAATGCATAACAGAACATTTTATACAATCATATTTACAATTAAATGAAATGAATATATTTGATAAGAATCTCTCCTTCTTATTTATCATTTGTTAACAATGATTTCAAGAAAATACAATATGTATTTGCAAAACACATACCCCAGTATGACAGCTCATGACAATGGTTTAAATTTCTTAAATGCAGGTCACACTCCAAAGTCAAGGTCAAGGAATCACAAATATTGGTTTCCAAAGAAAGGTATTTTCACAATGAATGAAAGACCTTTGGATCAATCATTCTGAAATTAGGAACCTACAGCAATTAGTTTATTTAATACCCAGGAGCAGAGAAGATTTTCAAAGAATTAATGTATTTTCACTGTATAATCAATAGAGCCCATGAAATTCACAATTTTTGTTCCCCATCAACCATAAATTCTTTATGCCAAAATTGGTTGAAATTGGTTGAGCTGTTGCAGAGAAGAAGCTGAAAATGTTCAAATGTTAACATACGATGCACACTGCGTGACGACAGACGAAAACATATAGAAATAGGTCACCTGATTTTACTCAGGTGACCTAAAAAAAAGATGTTTGTGAAACACTGTTGCCCCTGTATGGCAGCTTCTGACAAGGGTGGAACTTTCTCAAATGCAAGTCAAAAAACTCCAAGGTAAAAAAGTCAGAATTGTTGGTATCCAAAAAAAAGGTCTTGTCATAAGGAATTAACCTTCAAAATATGAAAGCCCTAGTACTAATTATTAAAAAATTATGGTTAAGGTTCAAATATGTTTTTTTTTTTTTAAGTTGGTCAAACTCCAAGGTTAAAGTTTTTGCAGACAAACAGATTAACAGACAGACAGGGCAAAAACCATATACCCTGGAATCTTTTTGAACAGGCATAAAAGAGTGAAATAAATTCACAAACTCTGTGGACTGTACTATTCCCAAGTTTTATTGCATAGAGTAAAATAATGTTTTGCAAGTAGAAAGAATCTGGGGGGATTAGGCGAGTCATATGCCCACACGGATTTTGTCGCTCTGTAAGTATATCGGAAATTTCATAGTTGTACGATATGATTTACCTAAACATTTAAACTTTGTACAGCACTGTCCAAATGACAATATCTATATTTTAAAACCTTGCAGTTATCGTTATAGTATTTTTTAACGTGATGCTTTTCATACTGCGTGTTAATTATTGTTCTATCAAATATGTTTTCAGGGGTTGGGAAAATGGTGAGAGATACATCCTTCCACACCCTTTCAATATTGTTTACGAAAAAATGGTACGAAGACCCACTCTATATAAAACACACAGTTTTTACATTCCATTTCTATCATTTTTATGTTTTTTAAAGCATGTTACCATTTTGGTGGGTTAATTACAATCAATTTGTAAGTCATTTGATTCAGGTTTTATCTTTACTGTATGCATATGGTTATAAATAACTCCCAAATTTAACAAAAAGTTGAATTTGCAAGAATTTTTTAATCAATATTTTACCCGCACTTGCGTAGGCATATGACTCGCCTAATCCACCGAGATTCTTACACACAAAAAACATTGTAAGCAAAATTTACTATTTAATAAATTGCAGTTCATATACACATATGTAAGCAACACTGAATAGATTATTTTGTAAGACTCAATCTTCTTATACATGAACATGTATACCGGTAATTATATATTAATGCACGTTGATACATAATAAAAAAAACCCACAGTAGTTGTGATGACATGGATCAAAAAGTTATGCAGAGTCTGTATATCAATTATAATTTCCTGATTTATAAATAATTATGAACATTTAAATGCTATAAAGACTAAAGAGGCAAAAAGCTGTCATATGTAGCATCTTGTCACGTAGCAGGTTTAATGGACAGAAGGTTTCCAAACAGAAAATGCTGGACTACAGGACATTTACCAAGCACCTGCCAAAAGAAGTTAACGTCTTAGTTACACACAACATTCTAAAAGTAACTGACAATGCTTACTTGATGCACTTTTCTATAATAAATAAAAACAAGAGGCCCAGGGGCCACATCGCTCACCTGAGCACATCGGCTAGGAAAAAACACATATCAGATCAGAACTGAAAGTTTACTGAGGTGAAGGGGGGGGGGGGGATGGGCTTCAATTTTAATACTATTTGAGAATGCTTTGCTGTTATTGATCAGATTTCTTTTTTAAACATTTTGTTCCTATATATTATTTCGTAATAATTTGAATTTGATTCCCCATTGTTTCCTTCCCTATCCTAAAGGGCCATGATTTGAATAAATTTAAATCTTTGATACATGAGGATGCTTACAAGCCAATATGACTAAACATAGCTTTTCTGTTCTTGGGATTTTTCCCTTTATTTTTCTATGTAAAACTTTGATCCTTCATTGTGGTTCCACCCTACCCTTGGGGGTTATGATTTGAACAAATTTAATTCTACACTACCTGAGAATGCTTCCATGTAAATACTAGTACCACTAATTATGGCTTTGTTATTCTTGATAAGAAGACTTTTTAAATATATTTTAATGTAAAACTTGGATCCCCCGGCCATTGTGGCCCCACCCTATCCCTGGGGGTTGTAATTTGAACAAACTAGAATCTACACTACCTGAGGATGATTCCATATAAATATCTCTAATTATGGTTTTGAAGTACTTAAGAAGATGATTTTAAAGATTTCCCTATTATTCCTACGTAAAACTTTGATCAGCCAATTTAACCCCACCCTACCCCCAGGGGTCATAATTTGAACAAACTAGAATCTACACTACCTGAGGATGATTCCTATAAATATCTCTAATCATGGCTTTAAAGTACTTGAAAAGAAGATTTTAAAAGTTTTCTATATATATTCCTATGTAAAACTTTGATCGGCCATTTTGGCCCCACCTCATCCCAGGGGGTCATAATTTCCTGGCAAAGTGGTTCTTGAGGAGAAGATTTTTAAAAGATTTTTCCTATATATTCCAATGTAAAATTTTGATCGGCCATTTTGACCCCACCCTACCCCCGGGGGTCATGATTTGAACAAACTTGGATCTACACTACCTGAGGATGATTCCATATAAATATCTCTAATCATTCCCTATTATTCCTACGTAAAACTTTGATCAGCCAATTTAACCCCACCCTACCCCCAGGGGTCATAATTTGAACAAACTTGAATCTAAACTACCTGAGGATGATTCCATATAAATATCTCTAATCATGGCTTTAAAGTACTTGAAAAGAAGATTTTAAAAGTTTTCTGTATATATTTCTATGTAAAACTTTGATCGGCCATTTTGGCCCCACCTTATCCCAGGGGGTAATAATTTGAACAAATTTGAATCTACACTACCTGAGGATAATTTCACATAAGTTTCATCTTTCCTGGCAAAGTGGTTCTTGAGGAGAAGATTTTTAAAAGGTTTTTCCTATATATTCCAATGTAAAATTTTTATCGGCCATTTTGACCCCACCCTACCCCCGGGGGTCATGATTTGAACAAACTTGAATCTACACTACCTGAGGATAATTTCACATGAGTTTCATCTTTCCTGGCAAAGTGGTTCTTGAGAAGAAGATTTTTAAAAGATTTTTCCTATATATTCCAATGTAAAATTTCGATCGGCCATTTTGGCCCCACCCTACCCCCGGGGGTCATGATTTGAACAAACTTGAATCTACACTACCTGAGGATGATTCCACATGAGTTTCATCTTTCCTAGCCCAGTGGTTCTTGAGAAGAAGATTTTTCCTATATATTCCTATGTAAAACTTTGATCGGCCATTTTGGCTCCACCCCACCCTACCCCGGGGGTCATGATTTGAATAAAAAAATTTACACTACCTGAGGATGGTTCCACATGAGTTTCATCTTTCCTGGCAAAGTGGTTCTTGAGAAGAAGATTTTTAAAGATTTTTCCTATTTACTCCTATGTAAAACTTTGATCGGCCATTTTGGCCCCACCCTACCCCCGGGGGTCATGATTAGAACAAATCTGAATTTACTCTACATGAGGATGATTCCACGTAAGTTTCATCTTTCCTGGCCCAGTGGTTCTTGAGAAGATGATTTTTTAAACAAGAGGCCCAAGGGCCTTGAATCGCTCTTCTGATAAATTGTACAATCTATCACTTCTATTTGAAGCCTCTAACCTTAAGTATCCTAAGACCCAAGTTGCATCAAATGACAAAGTTTGATGATTTTTAGCCAATAATGACTGAAAATATTTTTGATAATAAAGCTATAAAAAACCATAAGTACATCACAGTGACCTATATTAAGATTGAAATTTTCTGAGGACTCAAGATGCATTAATAAACAAAGATTGAAGATTCTAAGCCAATAAGTATTTGAGATATTTAAAAGTAGGTCACCATGACCTACCTTTTTGTCTACATACTTTGAAAACCCAAGATACATCAACTGACAAAGTTTGATGATTCTAAGCCAAACAGTACCTGAGATATTCAAAAGTAGGTCACCATGACCTACTTTCTGATCGACATTCTCTAAAAACCAAAGATGTATCAACAAACAAAGTTTAGTGATTCTAAACCAGTTATTACCAGAGATACTTAAATAAAGCCATAAAATGTCGAAAGTAGGTCACAGTGACCTACTTTTTTAACATCATTCTCCGAAAACGCAAGATGCATCAACTTACAAAATTTGATGATTCTAAGCCAATAAGTACCGTAGAGATACTTAAATAAAGCCATAAAATGTCAAAAGTAGGTCACCATGACCTACTTTTTGGTCATCACTCTCCGAAAACCCAAGACGCATCAACTCACAAAGTTTGATGATTCTAAGCCAATAAATACCTAAGATACTAAAATATAGCCATAAGAAGTCGAAAGTAGGTCACAGTGACCTACTTTTTGGACATCATTCTCCGAAAACCCAAGATGCATCAACTTACAAAGTTTGATGATTCTAAGCCAATAAGTACCATAATTACTTAAATAAAGCCATAAAATGTCAAAAGTAGGTCACCGTGACCTACTTTTTGTTTGTTACTCTCCGAAAACCCAAGATGCATCAACTCACAAAGTTTGATGATTCTAAGCCAATAAATACCTAAGATACCAAAAAATAGCCATAAAATGTTGAAACTAGGTCATCGTGACCTATATTTTGGTCGACATTTTTCAGAGTCACAAGATGCATCTGCTGACCAAGTTTGATGATCCTAGGTCTGAAGGTAATCAAAATATGCCTTTTAAATAATTCGAAAACAAATGCCTGTAACATTCAAAAAGTAGGTCACAGTGACCTACTTTTTCATAAATATGTTTTAAAGTCCCAAGATGCATCAATTAACAAGATTTGATGATTCTAAACCTCTCAGTGTCTGAAATAATTGGATTAAATGTTTTAAGAAGAATTAGTCATAAAGTTCAAAAAGTAGGTCACGGTGACCTACTTTTAAGCTGACGTTGTTCAAGGACCCAAGATGCATCAACTGACAAATTTTGATGATCATAGGCCTTAAAGTGCCCGAAATATGCCTTCAAATCAATTTGAAAACAAATGCTCACAAAATTTAAAAAGTAGGTCACCGTGACCTACTTTTGAGTTAACATGATGTGAAGTCCTGAGATGCATCAACTTACAAGATTTGATGATCCTAGTCCTAATAGTAAGCAAAATATAAACATTTTTATTATTTGTAAATTTAGGTCAACTTTGAAGTGACCTTGAGACCACGCCCTTTGCCCGAGGGTCATGCCTTGAACAATTTTTAATCTTCAACATATCCTGATCCTTGTATGTAAGTTTGGTGAAAATCTGCCAGGTGGTTCTGGAGAAGAAGATTTTTTAGCAACCAGTACTTTTGGTTTTGTTTTCCTGATTATCTCCCCTTGTTTAAGGGTCTCAACCCTTATTTTAGTATAAATGGTAGCCCTTGGGCCAAGGATACCCTGTGACAAATTTGAAATTAATTGGCCAAGGGGTTCGTAAGTTATGGCCCATAATCTAAAAAGTTAACGCACACCGCACGACGCACACCGCACACCGCACAAATGGCCATAGCATTAGCTCTTTGAGCCTTTGGCTCAGAAGAGCTAAAAATGCCATTAATTTTTCACTAATTCAAGATTATCTCCCCTTGGAAAAGGGCGTGGCCCTTCTTTTGAACAAATTTGAATCCTCTTCACCCAAGGATACTTTGTGCCAAGTTTGGTTGAAATTGGCCCAGTGGTTCTTGAGAAAAAGATGAAAATGTGAAAAGTTTACGACAACGACTACCACGAAAGACAACAGACAAATTTTGATCAGAAAAGTGAAAAGCTCACTTGAGCCTTCAGCTCAGGTGAGCTAACAAGAGGTTCATTTTACTAGCTATGGTTTCTGATCCACCCCTCTTCTTATTATAAACCTGAGTCAAAATCCTGAGGGGAAATCCTGAATTTGATAGATGTACTGCCAAGAGTTAATGAGGAGAGGAGAGAATTAAAAATCCTTGGCAAGCAAAGTTGCAACCCCATTGGCCACAACACTAACCTGAGTCAATATTGCCCTACGGTTCTTAATCAAGATTTTTTTCTCTTGTATATTTCTTTGTAAAAACTTGATCCCCTCTGTAGCATACCTTACTTGAAGGTGCCATGATTTTGAAAAGAAGTTGAATGATTAATCATGGCTTTGTTGTTCTTGAGTAGAAGATTTTAAAATATTTTTTTCCCAATATATTCCTTTATACAACTTTGATCCCCCATTGTCCCCCCTGGGTGTTTTAATTTGAACAAACTTTTAATCTAGTCTATGTAATGAAGGATTCACTGAAGTTTCAATTTTTCAGACCCAGTAGTACTTTAATAAGAAAAGATTTTTAAGAAATGCCTCCAAATTTTCACTAATTCTAAATAATCTCATTTTATTCCATCAAAAATTACAGAAAACCAAATTTTACCTCAACTTTGTACATTTTTATGAAGCCTGAATTGACTTTTTCCCAATTTGGCACACCACTGATGTTCCAGAGCTGGTTTGAATGTTCAGCAAATGGTCCTGTTTTGACCTATTTGTGCATAAAATCAAATATTTTTCATGTAATGTTAAAAAGATTAAAAAATTTAATGTTTTTCACATAAATTCATGTAATTTCTTTTAATAGAATTCTCAATTTCATGAAAATTGAACATTTTATCTTCATATATATTGTAAGCTTCTTCAGCACCCTGTCAAATGCCAATCAGCTCACAATGTTTCCATCCCGTGTAAATTCAATTAATTATATTTTTATCAGGACTACTCATGACATCCGTCCACATAATAAAAAGGGGGGGGGGTCATCCTCAGCCCATCGCATGTATTTAAACACCCTTGATAATTTACTTCACATTCCTGTAAATCATAACCAAGTTCCATTTTTTCGTTTCAAATATTTCATTTAATAAAGACTTCAAAGTTCAATGAAATATAACAAAACAGTCAGTACATCTATGAGTATATAAAGTCCTAGCTTAACATCTCTGGCCTAATAAAACACAGTGGATTGCGGTGTCCGTGCGGTGGAGAAATTATACACTACTTAATTTGTATTAGTTTACATTATTTCATTTTACCTAAGTCACTAGTAATGTATAGTCAGTAATGTTGATGACGTAATATGATCTGATCGTAACGATCTTCGTGATGATACTGGCGTTCTCTGCTCGTATATATAACCTTCTATAAATGATCACGTGATTATATCAACCAATGAATAATTGTCCTTTCTGGAGCCTCTCAGAACTACTTTACATACATTTTGTGTAAAACAAAAAATAACATCGCTCAAAATGTCCTCTCTACATGTAAAGTGGGAGCTATAAGTTCTATTCGATATACATAATAAAACAAGTTCAACAAACAATCTGTGATAAAACGGACACACACAATCCATGGCGTAGTAATACCGAACAATAATGCAAACACATAAGTATTACGCTACACATTCAAGTTCCAAAACATTTCGTCAAATAAAACATAATTAAATGACAATACTGCAATAAAATAACATTTAAGTATCAATTATAAATATCAGAAGACACGGACAGTGTTATTTCGATCTTATCAATTGTAAAACGACAATGTTTATGTCACATGACTATTTCCTTCGTAAGAAAGATGGCAGGCGCCCAATTTACAACACATGTGATAATGCTGAAATAAGTAAGTAAATTACAGTCGTAATATGGTAGATAATGATGAAAAACTGACATGTAACATCTTAGTATCACTGTCCCTTACTGTCTGTTCAACAATATCTCACTAGATCGTCTAGTAACACAAAAACAGCATATGTTTACATTACAATGTCGAAGTGCAATGTGTATTGCATCAATAATTCAAGTAAACAATAAGATAATGAAATAACATCAACAATAAAACATTTCTTATAGATTTACAACTGGATGCTACTTTACTTCACTTACAAACACTCCACCATCAGCCTGTGATTAATTAATATGCAATATTCTAAAGTCCAACCCCCATGCATATTACACTTCCCCCCACTTAAAAAGTCAAATTCTCCTGAATTTACAGTCTTAATAAATCATCTGGTTCTGCTAGCTTCTTACTTCCATCAATGAAATCTTTTTCTTTCTTTCACTCAACCACTTCTTTCGGTAATTCTCACACATCTGCCTGCTCATCTGATACCATTTCATCTACTTCTTTCTCCATCTCTCCATCTCGCCTCTCTGCTACTTCTGTCTCCATCTCTCTGTCTCGTCTCTCTGCTACTTCTGTCTCCATCTCTTCATCTCTCTTTTACTTCTTTCACCATCTCTTCATCTCCACCATGAAAATCCACCATCCATCCCATGTATAAAGTATACAGCTCCCTGTGCATAAGCTAGTAAAAGATTGGAAATTCTTGTTAGAATTGGATGTAGTTGATAAAGGTAGGTTCCTATGGGAATCAGTCAGTCAATCAGTCGGGTCTTATTCTTCATTGTTTTTGTAGATTCCTCCCAGGATCAGGAAGTGACATCAATTATCCATTTATAATTTTATTCCAGTAGTAGATTGAAATCAACAAAAGTAACAGTCCGGCCCAGCCCTAGACAACTGAGGTCCACCTGCAGTCCGGCCCAGCCCTAGACAACTGAGGTCCTAATGTGCACTAATAGTAATGGCCAGTCACTATCTACACATTCACCTAGTGTGGTGCACCACCTAGGACAACATCCATCTTAGACATGTGTCAATATAATAAAACAAAAAAAATCTGGTATCATCAAACTACTGTCCGACATCATTTAGTTTTGTGGTATGAACTTCCTAAACCAGGGTTGCAAGTTGATGCCTCGATATATCATCAACCTATCCTATAAATTAAGTCAAGTCATCTAGTTGTCCTGTTACAAGGTCCTTTTCATTTTGAAGTTAATACAGCAAACCCATCCTTTGGCAATTTATCTTTGTGATGTAGTTAAGAAGAAAGTCCTTTCCAAGGATCCTATCTTGTGAAATTTTGCAAATTCCAAATTTGTGTGGCAATGTTTCTTTCCCAAAAGATACATCCAGTACAATGGTCCCGATGTTCTCAATTAAATTCCCATTTACATCCTGAATGTCAGAGGTTGCAGGCTGTATGTAAGAGCTAGTTTTCTTTGAGAGTTTATTAAAATTTTGAACGAAATAATCCATGCAGTAGATCCACTATCCTAGAAAATCTATTGTTTTGTCAAATATGTTTCCTTTGTATAAAATCCATTGTCCCATGAGAGAGTTATATCCCCTGTTTGGCCAGTCCTAGTATGTTCATTTCCAACAGAAAAACATTTCTCTTTTGCCGACTCCTGACTTAATGATATCTGTTATCTCTCATGTTTCCACTGCCATGTCTCCTATTCAGGTTAGAGGTCATGGTCTGTTGTCCTCTTGTCCATCGGTCTGGGCAGTCCTTCATGAGATGATCTGGTGAATTGCAGATGAAGCAAGTCCAAGAGTTATTGCCCTTCCGAGGTTGCATTCTCTGTGCACTTTCCAATTTCTCTAATCTATCGATTAGTAACTTGATTGTATGTTCCAAGTTATTTGATTTCTGCTCTCCAGTTGGCTGTTTGACTACTTGTCCTTGATCCACATGTCTAACATTTATTTTCTTTTTATCCCCATCCCCCATTATTGACTCGTATCTCTCAATGACGTCTACCGCTTCTGCAACAGTGCTGCACTCCTTATCAATACAACGACATTTCATTTCAATGGTAATAATTTTGTAAAGGTGGTTCAGTGCTAGTGATTCCTGAGCGGCAATACTCAAGTTACTGTAAGCTTTTTGTGATAATTGCCGTATATCGTCTCCAATATCTGCAATACTTTCTCCAGGCATCCTCCTACGCATTTCCAGTTTTGAAAGCCACCTATTTTTGTGTTTTGAGCTACCAAATCTCTGGTCCATACGCTGAACAAGAATTTTAAACGTTCGTCTTTCCCCAAGTGTTAGGCTCATGTAGAAAGTCCTGGCTTGTCCGCGTAAGCTAGCGGCTAAGAAAAGAAGTTTTGTCCTGTCGTCCCAGTGGCTTAGTTCAGCGCAGTCTTGAAAGTGAGAAAAGTATTCCTCCCAACTTTCTTTTCCATTGTAGGGTTCGGGTTTGATCATAAGTGTAGAAATGCGATTGTGATCACTATGTGCGTCGTCAGCTAACTGATAATCAGATCGCCGACGGAAATTATGTCCTACTTCGTCGTCGTCGTCACTGTCATGTCTTTCCAAAGGATTTTCATTTGCCATTAAATATTCGTCATCAGTGTTCCTCCCAAAGTCATCTGTTTCGTCTCCTTGGCCTAACTGAACATTTTCCTTATATTCATTTATAAATACTTCAGGATCCGGTGAAGTAGCATCCACCATTTTTAACTATAAAAACAGTAACAAGAACATATGTACATCGTTATTTTAAAAATAGATTTTTTTTCCTCCACCACACGACAGTCCGCAATCCACTCTATTTCAGTACTTGACAGGTATTAAAGTACGGGTTCGTATCCTAGATGTCCTCGTATATGGTAGGACATCCCACTTCTGACACCAAAAATTGTAAGCTTCTTCAGCACCCTGTCAAATGCCAATCAGCTTACAATGTTTCCATCCCGTGTAAATTCAGTTAATTATATTTTTATCAGGACTACTCATGACATCCGTCCACATAATAAAAAGGGGGGGGGGTCATCCTCAGCCCATCGCATGTATTTAAACACCCTTGATAATTTACTTCACATTCCTGTAAATCATAACCAAGTTCCATTTTTTCGTTTCAAATATTTCATTTAATAAAGACTTCAAAGTTCAATGAAATATAACAAAACAGTCAGTACATCTATGAGTATATAAAGTCCTAGCTTAACATCTCTGGCCTAATAAAACACAGTGGATTGCGGTGTCCGTGCGGTGGAGAAATTATACACTACTTAATTTGTATTAGTTTACATTATTTCATTTTACCTAAGTCACTAGTAATGTATAGTCAGTAATGTTGATGACGTAATATGATCTGATCGTAACGATCTTCGTGATGATACTGGCGTTCTCTGCTCGTATATATAACCTTCTATAAATGATCACGTGATTATATCAACCAATGAATAATTGTCCTTTCTGGAGCCTCTCAGAACTACTTTACATACATTTTGTGTAAAACAAAAAATAACATCGCTCAAAATGTCCTCTCTACATGTAAAGTGGGAGCTATAAGTTCTATTCGATATACATAATAAAACAAGTTCAACAAACAATCTGTGATAAAACGGACACACACAATCCATGGCGTAGTAATACCGAACAATAATGCAAACACATAAGTATTACGCTACACATTCAAGTTCCAAAACATTTCGTCAAATAAAACATAATTAAATGACAATACTGCAATAAAATAACATTTAAGTATCAATTATAAATATCAGAAGACACGGACAGTGTTATTTCGATCTTATCAATTGTAAAACGACAATGTTTATGTCACATGACTATTTCCTTCGTAAGAAAGATGGCAGGCGCCCAATTTACAACACATGTGATAATGCTGAAATAAGTAAGTAAATTACAGTCGTAATATGGTAGATAATGATGAAAAACTGACATGTAACATCTTAGTATCACTGTCCCTTACTGTCTGTTCAACAATATCTCACTAGATCGTCTAGTAACACAAAAACAGCATATGTTTACATTACAATGTCGAAGTGCAATGTGTATTGCATCAATAATTCAAGTAAACAATAAGATAATGAAATAACATCAACAATAAAACATTTCTTATAGATTTACAACTGGATGCTACTTTACTTCACTTACAAACACTCCACCATCAGCCTGTGATTAATTAATATGCAATATTCTAAAGTCCAACCCCCATGCATATTACAATATTTAAACTCAAATGGGTACATTTTATCAATCTAAAAGATATTTTCAAAGGATGCCCATGCATAATTAAATTTTTATCCCACTGAAGTTCACTTTCTTTTGGAACTGTAATACAATTTTTTTTTCTATGCACATAAAATGAAACTTAATATGATTCATATAAAATAATCTGATACACATTTATGCCCTTACCTGATTAATATATTTAATACATCCTAGAAACATATAGTCTTTAGCAAAGGTTTCATAAATGTCAGGATTCACAAAGGATTTGGGTAAAATTCTTCTATGCCCTGCAAGTACAATGGTCATTTAAAATATCTCAATTAATACATTCTAATGCTTCAATGAATTAACATCTTTCTTAAAAGAATTCGAAACTATTTCAACAGATGAACATTTTCCTGAGAGCCAAAATACATTGTACCATAGAGCAAATATCTCCTTAAACTCAATTAAGGATATCCGAGGCTCAGCCAGGAAGGATAACTCCAAAAATACATATTTAAATTGAAATGCATCAAAATGAAGCTTGAAAATAAATTTTTTTCATGCAACAATTTTAATTATATTCATCTTTATAAGATTCAAGGTTTTTGGAAGTCTTAGAAAAGGTCTTATAAAAGTTGACATTTGTACCCTATAAAAGGAAAAAAAAAATAATACAGTTTCAGAGAAATAAGATTTTCTTGAATCCAGCCTTAGATACTAATGCTTATTAGCATGATATGAAATAAGAAGTGATTTGTGGTGTCTTGCAATGATAGCAAAAGCCTTTTACACTATGTATTATAGAATACATGACGGAAATAGAAGACAAAAAATACCAAATAAGTATAAAAAGCATGCCAATTTCTCTGAATGCCTGGATACCTATCGTTTTTAAACCTAAAATATATTTGTTGATCAATTTGCAATTAAAAAATGCAAAGCTAATATTCCTATTCGCTTTTTCTGCAAAAATATTGGAGATTTGATGATTTTCCCTATATAATATGATTAAATTTAATCTTGAACTTTAAAGAAACACTGTGGATAAATTTACATAACTTTGTGGATTCAGAGATACTTTTATGAGTTCTTTTGATTACTTAGCTGCTAATTTTATAAACCTGAGGATCGGACTACCTTAAATTATATGTGTATCTTTATGTACATGTATGTTAAACAAGTTTGTCTTATGAGTTCCAACCACCCTGAAAGCCTTTGATTGAGAATCTGAATTGACTGACACACCTAACAGTTGAGAACTTCCCCACAGAAACGGGAGGAACTGGAAGTCATCCAGGCTCCAGACGCCGTGACTTCCTGCTGGCTCCATCCTGTACACTGTCTGTAACTTCCTGACAAATTGTAAGTACCTAAAATATGGATATTGATTTTAAAGTATGCTACTTCAAAGTTATTACCACTGTTAGCAATAGAAGATAAACCATTCATTTTGAAAATTAGCATACTATTACATACTATGTATTTTGATATAAATTTGATTACATGATTGTATCTTGATTCAACTGCCAAACCTCATGTCAACAAAGTGACCTTCACCTTACTTCTCAAACACCTTGACAATGACTTGACCTTACCTTTCAAACACTTTGAAAAAGATGTGATCTTGACCTTACCTCTCAAACACCTTGAAAATGATGCGACTTTGATCTTTAGAACATTTTGACATGTTGTGACCTTGAACTTACCTCTCAAACACCTTAAGTGCTGCTGCTGTAGCATCTTGTTCTGTTAAGGCTTCAATTTTAAACAAACAACACAGAAAGGCTGCAAAGGCTAGCTCATGTCCTGCAAACAAAGAGACACTTATCAGGCCACATCAAATTAGAGAGGTTAAATGTGGTCATACTGGTGAGGGAGAAAGGGGTTCCATTATTTAATATTTACCCCTAACCCATATAAAATATTTTCTGTTTAATGTAAAAGTACATGCAAAGTAAAAATATATAAGGAATTAAGATCAGTCTATATCAATAATTTCCATAGTTCTGCTCTTCTAAGCAATTTTAGTATGTGTACAACATGTATGACCACTGCATATAATGCCAAGCTTTAATAATCCTGTTACCTGAACCATAATCTATTCTTGTGTCATTTCCTATAGACTCTATGAGATACACTGAGATTTCTGGGATAAAGTCATCAAATTTATCACCAATAGCTTCCCTAACTAGAGTCTCTGCATTCTGTAAAATCAACAAAAAATTTACACATTAGCTAGTCAATGAGATCAGACTGTGTCAACAGAATAAATAAAACAAAGAAGATGTACAGGTGAAACAAAGATACCCTCCCCCTATATAGTAAATCAAGGTGAAGGCTAGAGTTTCTCAAATGTAAGTTGAACTTAAAGTTCAAGGTCAAAAGTTTGAAATTTTTGGTACCCAAATAAAGTTCTTACAAAGTAAAAACTTTGAAATACATGTATACATATAAAAAAAAAACCAAAAACTAAATGCTATGGCCAAATTGTATTGGTTAAAGTATTTCAAAGGTAGGTAAGACTCCAAAGTCAAGTTCAGAATGTTAAACTAGTACACAGTAATGAATATGAAAGTACAAGCTCCAACCATTTAAAACTTATGAGTTTCAAACAGTAATGGTAGGTCAAACTCCAGGGTCAAGGTAAAAAAATATGTACCAAAGGGAAGGTCTTAATAAGAGTTTTTCAAACTCCAAGGTCAAATATGTTGGTCTTCAAAGAAAGGTCACGTCACAAGAAGGACACATGTTAAGTAGGAAAGCCTTAGCTCCATCCCATTACAAGTTATGGGCAAGGTTACAGTGTTTGTGGATTGTTGAAACAGAGAAACAGAGCAAAAACTGACTTACCCTGACTCATCAATAACTTAAAAATAGTTTTATTTTATATACTAATACTGAAATTATCTATTTAGCTTATACATGATATAAAAAAAACATAAAACTTTAAATTTTTTGTCATCTTGCACTTGCTACTGGTGGAATTTATATATAAGCACCTCTTTTAATCTTTTGAAGAAATCCCTGAAAGCTTTGTTTCCAAATCTCTGTGGTTGATCGACTGGGGGAATCTCGTCAATCCATGACGACATTTTGTCCAACATGACAAGAAGCTTCTCTATTGTCTGAAAAAAATGTACTCACATTGTAGCAATAGAATGACTGCTGCCTCAGTATGGCTACGATGCTCACAGACTGAGCTATAGTCTGTCACACAGTCAGAACATGGCAAAGACTAAAGCTCATTCTATCTTGCATGTTGTGTAAGTCATCACACTATAGTACATGCACCTTCCTTTTATAACAATGTTATGCAGTACCTGTGAGACAGGGTAAGGATCTGTTATCTTCTTTCCCTTCACAGCCTCATTAATGGCAGTGATGAATCCAACTAAGTCTCTGTATGCCTAATAAGAAAAAATTAATTTACAAACAAGAATGCTCCTCAACATGCCCTTGTCATCTTCGACCTTGGCCAAATAATATCAGCATTATCACATACTCTTTGATCATATTTAAACCTTAAAAGTTTATCCAAGTATGAGCTATTATTTATGTTTTTACATTCCAATATGGATGAGTTTAAATTCATACACATCCAATGGAAACAAAAGGACACACTTTCTTCATGAATCTACCTTTATAAACTAAATATGACGCCAAATATATATCTAATGTACATTTAACAGACGCACTTTAATAGTACTGTAAAATCACATATTTTTGTGGGGTCAAATTTTCGTGGTTAGAAGAAAATCTCTTGGTTTGCAGGGATTTGATTTCATGGATCAAGAATTAATGAGTACTTATATATGTAACATTTTACATTTCGTGGTGGACATGAATTCGTGGGTCTCGTCATACCTCGAAAACAATGAAAATTAAACCCCCACGAAAATTTGTGATTTCACAGTATATAACTATAAGACAATTAAGCACATCACAATATTTACCTCTGACTTTTCCCACTTTGCTAAATCACCCGGCTCAAATATTTCTTTAACTGGAATTTTGGACTTTTTAGTTGTCTCTGTTCCCCCATCTGATTGGTTGGCTGTTTCTGTGGGTGTGTCTGTGGGTTTCTCTGTGGGTGTGTCTGTGGTTTTCTCTGCTACATTTACTTGGCTTTTTTCTGTGTCTTCACATTGAGACTCTTCAGATGCAGCATTTTGCTCTAAAAGTAGAAGAAAAGCCACTTTCAATAACAAGAGGCCCAGGGGCCACATCGCTCACCTGAGCTAAGAAAAAGCACATTTCAGATTAGAACTGAAAGTTTACTGAGAGGGTGGGGGGGGGGAGGGGCTTGAATTTTACTCCCCCCAGGGGGTCATGATTTGAACAAACTAGAATCTACACCACCTGAGATGATTACCTATAAACATCACTAAGCATGGCTTTGAAGTACAGTCAATTCTCGAATTATCGCCATTCGATTCATCGCCATTTTCGCAATACCGCCATGATTTCCCAAGAACGTTTTTCCTGCTATATAAAATTCTCTTTATAACGCCAAATTCGCATACCGCCATCCGCCACCCTGTTTTCACAACAAACGTCCATTTTTAAGTGTCAATTATCTCGATAATACCGCCACAGGTGCATGTGGTCAGTGAAGCGCGGCTAATTGGTTGACGCTATCCCTGTTGTAAAGCGTGCAAAGCCAGTCAAGGTACATGCAATTAAGTAAATTAATTAAATAAACAATAATTTTAACATGAACTGTTAGAATAATTTTGTTTTCTGTTTAATAAAATCATATATAATTCAACGCTTCGCCAAGAAAGCGGTCGTTGCAAAGTACGCCGATAACGATATCATTTTGATGATCTCTGCTTTTAAAAACAATTCAAAGTTTGCTTAAAAAATAATTATAAGTCAGAAATTGTGAACGTTTCATTAACAATGATTTCATAAACAATGAATTTATTCAAGAACTTATTTTGCGTACTATAGGCAATCTATCACGACGATCGACCCAGCATTTTTTTTTCAATATCAAACGTGCAGATTTACATACATACACATGTACTTGTCTTAATTTCATAACTGAATATTTTGTTTTAGCAAAATTGTACATTAAAAAACTTACTTGAAGTATTTTCAAATATAGAAATATGTTTATATATACACATGTACATGTGATAATAAGAATAGAAACGCTAAATGGTATTTCTAAGAACGATTTATAACTCTATGTCTTATTTCCTAAAAGATGGAAAATTCAATTCATCGCCAAATTCGTTATACCGCCATGATTTCTAAATTACAAAAGGTGGCGGTTTATCGAGAATTAACTGTACTTGAAAAGAAGATTTTAAAAGGTTTCCCTATATATTCCTATGTAAAACTTTTATCGGTCATTTGGCCCCACCCTACCCCTGGGGGTCATGATTTGAACAAACTTAATTCTACACTACCTGGGGATGATTTCACAGGAGTTTCATCTTTCCTGTCTCAATGGTTCTTGAGAAGAAGATTTTTTCAATATATTCCTATGTAAAACTTTGATCGATCATTTTAGCCCCACCCTACTCCTGGGGGTTATGATTTGAACAAAATTAAATCTACACTACTTGAGGATGATTCCACATAAGTTTCATCTTTCCTGGCCCAGTGGTTCTTGAGAAGAAGATTTTTAAAGAATTTTCCTATATACTCCTATGCAAAACTTTGATCAGCCATTTTGGCCCCACCCTACCCCCGGGGGTCATGATTTGAACAAACTTGAATCTACACTACCTTAGGATGATTCTACGTGAGTTTTATCTTTCCTGGCCCAGTGGTTCTTGAGAAGAAGATTTTTTAAAAATGCCATTAATTTTTCTTTAATTCATAATTATCTCCCCTTGAAAAAGGGCGTGGCCCTTTATTTGAACAAACTTGAATCCCCTTCACCCAAGGATACTTTGTAGCAAGTTTGGTTGAAATTGGTTTAGCGGTTCTTGAGAAGAAGTCGAAAATGTGAAAAGTTTACAACGACGCCGACGACAACGACAACAATAACGACGACAGACAACGGACAAATTTTGATCAGAATAGCTCACTTGAGCCTTCGGCTCAGGTGAGCTAAAAACATCAAAAGCCCTAAGTCTGTGAAGATGTTTGATATGGTTAGCATGTACATGTAGCTGTGTCTCTTAAATCATCAACAATGATGTGCTTTATAATGGTGTACAATGTTGAGGGAAATATATACAACAAATTTATCACTTCAAAGTAACTTTTTTCATAACATTAAAAACATCAATGACAAAAAAAAAAATTACGAACAGATAGATACAAGACTTTGCTGCAACAATGCTAATAAAGTATACCAAGGTTATCACTGAACTTAATAAATTGGGTTAATGATAATGAAGTGAACTAGATATCATTGAGAGGGTGCCTTTTCAAAGGGCATAACAGGAAAGGAGAAAATGTATGGCTGCATGGACCGGGAATCGAACCCAGGACCCCAGTGCATCACTAGTCAGGTGCTTTACCAACTGAGCTACCCAGGCCCAAATCATTACACAGTTAATCCTCCCTCTTTCAATTGTCTCCTCCCTCTTTAAATTGTCTTTGCACTCAAAGACACAATAAACCCAAGTTCGTATCAGCCCATGGCAGGACTTTCACCTGCAAGTACAGGGGTGGTCAACAGCACCAAATCGACAGGCAAAGGAGAAAATGTATGGCTGAACCGGGAATCGAACCCAGGACCCCTGCATCACTAGTCAGGTGCTCTACCAACTGAGCTACCCAGGCCGATATCAACGGCCCAAACCATTACACCTGTTACAATGTTGACTTCATACAAAAGTATCTGACCTGATCTTTGGCACAGTTCGTATGTCAAAATGTAGAAGGCTTTTTATTGTGCCTGTCCCCAAAGTATCCGTTTCACTTTTTTGGGGGTTCCCTATATAGTGATTTAAGTGACAGCTTTCTTACTTTTACATACTTAAAACGAATGCTGTGTACTGTTTTGGTGGATGGGTTAAGATTTACCTTTATTGAATTTTGTCACACCCACAATCTGTGAGAGCATTGCTGGTACTCCCGTACTTGGCATCAAGCTGTCAAATGTGATCAACTTGTAGGCCTACTTTCTCACATTGCGGCATACTTCCCAGTTTTAGATTAATGTAAGTAAAAGTTTTTGTGCGGTTATGAGAATCACTTTAGCATAATCTCAGCGAGATGTCGTAGGGACTAAAAATTTTGGTCTGGTGTCAACTACGACATCTTGCTGAGATTACGCTTTAGCCATGATAATTTCAGGTGAGAATTTGGTTTATTTAATGAATTAAAATGTGTAAGTAATCTATTAACACTGAAGCAATGCTCTAAGGATTTGCTAACATATAGCTTAAATGTTAGAATTAAAGTTAGAGGTTCTAAAATATACTTTCATTCCTAATACAAGTTTTCAGTACTTGTATATTACATCATCGGTAAGCCACGGGTGATTCACATCGATTCCCTCTATCATCGTTTGAGGAAGCTAGCAGACTCAAAACCCGTGGTTTGCAACGATGTGTACAGCTGGTGTATATTATACAGGTCCAGTCTAAAGACTATTTCTACCTACGTAGCTATTAATAGCTAATAGCTACGTAGGTATTTAAACCTACCCAAAGTAGCTATTTCTACCTACTTTTTGTATTATCTGCATTTTGTGGCCAAAAGACCAAACGACGCAACGTGGCGAATACCATATTTTTTGATACAGTCACACTGATGATGAATACAACAAAATTTTGGTCAAAAAATGATTACTTCCTGAATTGGCAATTTTACATTAGTTTCTGTGCAAAATTGATAATATACGAAGTAATCATTTTTTGGCCAAATTTTTGTCATATCCATTTATAGTGGGGTCAACTCCAATATAAGGGTATGTAGTCCCTATGCGGAAGCTTGTATATATAGAAGTAGTGATTCGGTTCTACTGTCGACTGGGGACAGTTGACAGTTGACACAACCATTTCTACTGTCGACCGGGGACAGTTGACAGTTGACACAACCATTTTTACTGTCGACCGGGGACAGTTGACACTTAAACATTTCTACTGTCGACCGGGGACAGTTGACACTTAAACATTTCTACTGTCGACCGGGGACAGTTGACAGTTGACACTTAATCATTTCTACTGTCGACCGGGGATAGTTGAAAGTTGGTTAGTCACACATACATAACTGTGAATAGGGTTAGTTTCGTATACATAGCTGTGATTAAGGTTATTCTTGCAAAAAAAAGCTGTGATTAGGGTTAGTCTCGCATTAATAGCTGTAATTAGGGTTAGTCTCGCATTAATAGCTGTAATTAGGGTTAGTCTCGCATTAATAGGTGTGATTAGGGTAAGTTTCGCATTAATAGCTGTAATTAGGGTTAGTTTCGCATTAATAGCTGTGATTAGGGTTAGTCTAAAATTTATAGCCATGATTAGGGTTAGTGTCCCCAGTTGACACTAGAACACAAGGGAAGTGTCAACTGTCAACCGTCGACCTGTCCCCGGTCGACACTAGAACATAAGGGAAGTGTCAACTGTCAACCGTCGACCTGTCCCCGGTCGACACTAGAACACAAGGGAAGTGTCAACTGTCAACCGTCGACCTGTCCCCGGTCGACACTAGAACACAAGGGAAGTGTCAACTGTCAACCGTCGACCTGTCCCCGGTCGACACTAGAACACAAGGGAAGTGTCAACTGTCAACCGTCGACCTGTCCCCGGTCGACACTAGAACACAAGGGAAGTGTCAACTGTCAACCGTCGACCTGTCCCCGGTCGACACTAGAACACAAGGGAAGTGTCAACTGTCAGCCGTCGACCTGTCCACGGTCGACACTAGAACACAAGGGAAGTGTCAACTGTCAACCGTCGACCTGTCCCCGGTCGACACTAGAACACAAGGGAAGTGTCAACTGTCAACTGTTGACATGTCCCCGGTCGACACTAGAACACAAGGGAAGTGTCAACTGTCAACTGTTGACATGTCCCCGGTCGACACTAGAACACAAGGGAAGTTTCAACTGTCAACCGTCGACCTGTCCCCGGTCGACAGTATATCCATGTATGGTATGTAGAAATAATTAGCCCCGTAACATTACTTCAATATACAATGATGTATGAATATGTTGATATTGTACGTACTACTTTATCCTTATATTGGAGTTGAGCCTTATAGTGTGACTGTATCAAGAAATTTGGAGCTCACCATATTGCGCCCTTCCTGCGTTTGGCCACAAAATGCAAGTAATGCAGAAAGTAGGTAAAAATAGCTACTTTGGGTAGGTTTAAATACCTACGTAGCTATTAGCTACGTAGGTAGAAATAGTCTTTAGACTGGACCTGTATTATGGCCGAGGAAATTCAGACAATGTATCGCTTCTGCAAACTCTAAAATGTACTGAATTCTCGATATGATAACTTGTCAATACCATGCTAATGTGTACAAACCATTTGATGGAGTTGATGATTCTTCTGACATGATTTACGTCTTTAATAGCTCCGTCAAATGTGCGTGATTTCGAACTTCATCATTCCGAAAGTACAAGCAAAGCCATCGGAAGGCATCGGATTTTACTTTCACTTTCTTCGTTACACGTCGCGTAAAAAAATAAATAAATTTAATGTTTATTTTTAATCCAGCTAACTAAGGTAATGTAATTAGGAGTAATTGTATCAATTAAGTTCAAACTAAGAATATAGAAGCATGATAACTTAAATGAACGCATGCTTTTTTTTTATTTTGCGTAATTCATTTCATCATCAGATCATGTACGAAGAATTGAGGAAATTAAGGATACACCAAAGGCTTTTTTCAAGATTTTTGTCAATTTTGAGATTTTTGGCTAAGAAAACAATGCTAATCTATGGTGGCATATTTCTGCCCCCCTACATAAAAGATAAATTATGTAAACATGCAAGAAAATTATGTCAACATGCAAGAAAATTATGTACACATGAAAGATAATTATGTTGACAGGCAAGTGACAAATCTTTTAAGAAAATCTTATTAAAATATGGGTAAAGTCCCGTGCTGACGCCTGTTTCTGACATCGTACATGCAAGATGCAACATAATTATGAGAAGATGCGATTTACTTATGTAAAATATTCGAGATATTTATGTCAACATGCGAGTTAATTATGTAGACATGCAACTCATTTATGTTGACATGCAAGATACTTATGTTAACATGTGAGATACTTATGTTAACATGCAAGATATTATGTAGACTAGCAGGATATTAATGTTCACATGCGACGTATTCATGTCAACATGCTAGATAATACATGCAGTATTCTTGCATCAACTTACATACCTTGCATGTAAACATAATTATCTTGCATGTTGACATATATGTTGCATGTTGACATAATTATCTTGCGTGTTAAAATAGGTAAGTCGCATGTTCACATATTATCTTGCATGTTGACATAAATAAGTGGCATGTTGGCATAAATAAGCCGCAAGTTGACATAATTATCTTGCATGTTGACATAAAAAAGTCGCATGTCTACATAATTATGTTGCATATTGCATCTAAAATGTCAGATACAGGCGTTAGTAAGTAAATTTACCCATATTTAAATTATATTTTCTTAAAGGATTGGTAACTTGCATGTCAACATAATTAACTTGCATGTTGACATAAATATGTTGCATGTTTACATAATTATGTTGCATGTAAACATAAGTTATCTTGCATACTAATCACTGCTTTATATTAATGCATGAAAAATTCTTGCTGATTATTGAATGGTTTTCTAATTATTTAACAATAATCAAACATAAACACTAACACATGTGAATGTGCCGTTATTGAAGCTTCTGATTTGGTCTGTAACTGCCTGCTACTGAAAGGAGCAATAAATCACTGTGACCACTTGGGGAATTCTTCACTAGCCACACAGAGGTTATCAGTAATTAAACTACAGGGACTCTAGAGTTAGGGAAGGAGATCTAACAGGTCACTAATGACCATGAAATAGGAGGTGGAGCTTAGCTCTTGCCATTTTGCCAGGAAATCTTTCTGATTCAGAATTGAACCTATTTTACTTCATTAAATGCACCTAAATAAAGAATAGAACCTCCCATTCTTGTGAATATATGCATAGGAAATATGGATAAGTGACAGGTATCCAAAGCTGAATCTCCAAGGTGTCATATATTTCTAGCTTTGGCAGACTCTGTTGTGTAATGGGTTTTTGCCCTCTACTGTAAAGTAAGATCAGAAAGTTGGTGGTATTATTTCAAAGGATTCAGCTCCCTTATTTATTGACCAATTTCTCTGAAAACTGGCTAGATTGTGTCTCAAATGTTTGTTCACGAAACCGTATCTCAGATTTTTGATATCTTGCTCAGTTCTCAAATTATTGGGGGAAATGTAGAATTGGGCCTATAAATTGGTAACATTAAAAGACAAATGGATGTAACTTTTGAATAAGAAGATTTATCAAAAATCTGAGAAACTGTTTTAAAGTTCAATCTTTAATCCACATTGAGGCAAAATTTTGACTTTGAGAGGTGGAATACAAAAAAGTTGCTTTATAAAATATAAATGCACTAATATTTACATTAAAATATGAATAACTTTTAAATAAGATAAAAATGAAAATGTAAATTAAGATCATTAAATAGTAAATTTAAGAAGCTTTCAAATGATATATACTTTTCATATGTTATCTTTGTTAATGAAAGAATTACAAGCAAATTAAATTTTGCCCTTTGGAAACCTTTGGTGTATCCTTAACATTTTAGAACTAAAGGCATTATAAAAAAATAAATATTTAGTCAGATCAGGGACCTTCCACTTGTAGTACGAAGGTTCCTGGTCAGATATATCATATAGCATGTTACATTGGTTCAGATTAATTGTCTAATATGTGCATAGCCGACAATCATATCCTTTCTGCATTGTTAGTAAATAAGCCTCCAAATACACATATTTAAACAATAAAATGCTTTCTTGTTATTACTGGAATTAACGGAAGCAGCTGTTGCAGAAAAAATATATAACGTGGTAATGTAATTTTTTTCTGCAATAGCTGCGACCGTTAATTCCAGTAATAACAAACAAAGAAAGATATTTTATTGTTTATATTTATCTGTTTAAATAATCATTTAAAGTAGGATTAAAAAGATTAATTATTGTATTAATGATGCTAACGTCTTTATACATTTCATTGATGGAACAGCCATTGATCAAGAAATCTGTTATATACAGGCGACATGCCTACTGTAGTTCATGCAATGATTAACACAATGGGTTTTCTTAAGAAATGAAGTAGAAAATATTCAGTGGATGTAAATATTAGACAATTAATCTGAACCATATTACAATGCTAAATTCTTATTCGTATTTTTATAGTTTGGAATATCCCATGGATATTTACGGACTGGGTGCTCATACTTTATTTAGGTCGAAAACACAAGATATTTTAATGATTTTGGTCAGAAAAACTGCACCCTCCTCATATTATAGCATGTAAATGTAGTAAACACAAAACAGCTGTATGGGTTATATTATTTTATTAACAGACACAAATGCTATTCTTTTAAGCCCTTATTTTTTCAGATTTTTTAAAGTTTGCAATAATTTAATAAATAACATCTAGTAAATATATAGGTCAGAAAAATACAATAAACCAGGATACACAATCAACTGATCAATGTCACAAAATCTAATGTATTTCTACAAAACCAAAAGGTTGTAAATCTGGTTAGTAAGTTTTCTGAATTGACAAGGGCTCTGTAAAATGGAGCAATTAGTTCCAAACAGAGTATTTGCTCCTACAGAGCATATTTATCAAGACAGCTATATAGCAATTGACATCAATCTCAGTGCAATAATGTACTTCGTTTTTGCACAAAGGACAAAATAACTCGCTTTTTTCCACACAAACACTTAAATATACACAATCAAAAATACTTTGACAGCAATTTCCCTGGGGAAAAACTGCAGTGTTCTTGCAAATAAAATGTTAAAATAAAATTAAATTAATGTTTTCCCTACCTATCTACCCTATTTTTTCTCAAGTTGGAATAGGAAACACACAATTTATTTATCTTAGCCTTATCTTGAGAGCTAGAGTTGAATTGAAATATGAAGAGGGGAAAGCTGATAATGCATCTTATTACCGATGTTTCGTGTTTATCTTTGCAGATTTGATATGTAAATGAGTCCTTCCGGCATTCATGTCAACAAAACAGTCATCTTCTTTATCTTGACTATCACAGTCATAATTGTTGTTTATAAGAACTACAAATACATAGGGACATTTCTGAAGTCCGAGGAAAAGAAAGAGGGGATGACCTCAATACCCCAGGATGCTCTTGACAAGGCCAAAACCTTAAAAGTAGAAGAACGTAAGGTGAAAGTAGAGATAAAAGATGGCAAGGTTTGTATTCTAGAACATGCAGTGATATTGTAATATTTCCATTTCTAATTTTTCTTTGTGTGACAACTCTTTGAAAGTTAGCGGAGTTAATTTCTTGATAATTCTACCGGAATGCAAATTAGGCAGGTCAATAGGTCAGGAGCTAAGGAGGCCTAATGTGCATGCAAATCTCGTGCGCATCTGTCTCTGAGTCTGACGCTAAGGAGGCCAAATATGCATGAAAATCTCGTGCAGCTGCCGTTGTGTTTGTCTGTTTGACGTCAGTTGGCGAGGACTAGTGAAATTGGGATGGGAATCCTCGTGTAACTTAAATCTATGTCTGCATTTTTAAAGTCTTATTCTACAATTTTATTTCAAAATGAAATGGAAATATAAGGAATCACTGTCTAGTTTGTATAGTATGCCAGGGACATCAACAATAGTGGGAAACATGGGATAATTTATGCATAACGGGCTTCGCCCGTTATGCAAATTATCCCATGTTTCCCACTATTGTTGATGCCCTGGCATACTATACTAACTAGACAGTGATTCCTTAAATAATTTACAGTAAAATGTGCTTAAAGCAAACATGCTTATAATAAATTAATGCTAATATACTGACATGGACATGATTTTGTTTTCTCCATGGCTTTGAAATATATATTATGAAATTAACAATTTCAAAAATGGATGACATTTATAATGAAGCAAGGTCATCTGTCCTAGGCACTTTGTTAAAAGCATGTTTAAATGTATGGCGGACTAACAGTTGTCCAAATCTGAAAAATATTGCAGATTTGCATCGTTTGCATTACAAGTTAGATCGAAAGTTTTTATGTTTACTTGACAGAGTGTTGCGATAGTGGTGCGTGAGGTCGTTCCATCATTAGGGGCAGGTGACATTCTATTCCTGCATGGACAGGCATTCTCATCAAAGAACTGGGAGGAGATACACACCCTGACAATCTTTACTGCTCTTGGATATCACCCGGTGGCAGTGGATTTACCAGATGGTGAGTCCCAGGAAGATAATGTTTATAAACAGCAGTTGTAAATACAGTTCAACTTTAGTATCTTGAACCTCTATATCAAATACCATGATATGTTGACGTGTTTTTGAATACCAATAACCTTTTTAGCTCACCTGAGCCGAAGGCTCAAGTGAGCTTTTCTGATCCGTCCGTCTGTCTCCGTCTGTCCGTCCGTCTGTAAACTTTTCACATTTTTGACTTCTTCTCAAGAACCACCGGACCAATTTTGACCAAACTTGGTACAAAGCATCCTTAGGTGAAGGGAAATTTAAATTGTTAAAATAAAGGGCCAAGTCCTCTCACAAGGGGAGATAATAAAGAAAAGACAAAAATAGGGTGGGGTCATTAAAAAATCTTCTTCTCAAGAACCAGTGGGCCAGAAAAGCTGAAACTTAAGTGGAAGCATCCTGGGGTAGTGTAGATTCTAAATTGTTCAAATCATGACCCCCAGGGGTTGGGCGGGGCCACAACGGGGAATAAAAGTTTTCCATAGAAATATATAGGAAAAATCTTTGAAAATCTTCTTCTAAAGAACCACTGGACCAGAAAAGCTGAAACTTATGTGGAAGCATCCTGGGGTAGTGTAGACTCTAAATTGTTCAAATCATGACCCCCGGGGTTAGGGCGGGGCCACAATGGGAAATCAAAGTTTTACATAGAAATATATAGGAAAAATCTTCAAAAATCTTCTTCTCAAGAACCACTGGGCCAGAAAAGCTGAAACTTATGTGGAAGCATTCTGGGGTAGTGTAGATTCTAAATTGTTCAAATCATGACCCCGGGGTTGGGGGTTGGGGGTGGTACACAATAAAGTCTCAAAGTTTTTCATAGAAATATATAGGAACAATCTTTAAAAATCTTCTTCTCAAAAACCACAGGGCCAGAAAAGCTGAAACTTATGTGGAAGCATCCTGATATACTGTAGATTTCAAATTGTTCAAATCATGACCCCTGGGGGTAGGGTGGAGTCCCAGTATGTATTACAAGGGGGAAATCAAGGAAAGAACAGCATGGCCAAAGCTTCTCAGGTGAGCGATGTGGCCCATAGGCCTCTTTTTTTTGTTTTTTAACCTCAGTATGCTGTTTTAAATTTTGAATTTAATTTTGGGGATAACAATATACCTTGGTAGAATGGAAATGTTCAAAGGCAAAATTTATTTTATGAGATCAAAATACTTGTAACTTTTAATAGCCATTCTCTGTAACCACTTAAACTTCGTTGCCACGCATGGTCACCGATTTTGATGAAACTTCACCCATGCTTAGTACTTGACACCAGAAACAAATATCAAACACAATTTCGTTGCTATGTGTCTCGGTTGCTATGGCAACAGCCAGAAAAGTATGAAAAATCGAGATTTTCAGCCACTTTAAATCTTTACTGTGGCTTAATAGAAACTAGAAAAAGCCAACAAACCATTCTCACAAAAACATGACACTTTGATGTCACTTATACTGTAAAGAAATGTGTAGAATATATCTCTAAGTAAGTGGTAACCAAGGGTACATTTGGAATACATTGAAAATGCTGAAATATGCTGAAAAACACTCCGTATTCACTAATGGTAGGTGTTACATGCTCTAACTCAATCAACAACTTAAGGAGGAACAGGACCTTTCGCTGAAAAAATTCATGTCAGTGAATTTTTTTGGTATTTTTTATATTACTAATTAAATATGTACTTAACATTTTAAAACGGTCCTGTCATGGGATTTCTTGACTTATTAAAAGATATCGCCCAGCAAATACCGCCCTGTTTAGAGTTTGTATGGAGTTTAGATACTTCATGTTTACGGGCCCATAACGGAGTCCATAATGCGAATTTTTATGCACAAACGATAAATATGATAGATAACACTACATATTCAAATATTTCAGAATATTCATAGTGTTTAAATTATCTGAAAGCAATTGTCTTAATTATATATAGTATTTGGGTGGATAATTTCTGCATTTTTCAAGGCAACTTCAACGACAAAAACCTCATTTGGAAAAAAATTCTGTCAATAAATATTTCTAAATTTACGATTGAATGTCAGTCCTTCATAGTAATTTTTTACTGCATAAATATCACAGGGTGAAGCTTACCTCAATATCGCACAGGACATCGTTGAATTAGACGTAAGCATGATAAAAACGCTTCACGTTCGTATTATCCGAGTGCGGGAAATCAATTGTGACGTCACAGGAAAACATAAACATTCAAAATTATCTAACTAGAGAGAATCTCTGCCACTAAACAAAAAAATACTAATTTTAAAAAATCTGCTTCAGAAATTTATCACAATACATCGACTGTGACCTGTTTATTATGAAATAAAACTGATCTAGACGGGTGTATGTACTTGATCTCGCTGCACTGAGAATTCAAACACTACGTCTATGACGTCACTGACGTTAGACTGCAGGGTAAAGAGAAACAAATGTGTGGATTGGACAACTTCACAATATCTAAATGATGGCAAGAT